ATTGAATAGAGATAATTACACAAGATTTTACAAGAAGCGTGAAATAGTAATATCATTGAAGTATGATACCAAATGTGAGTGATATTAGGCAGATGGAACATCCTATAATATCGTAGTGCGGTGCTAGAACAAATGGTCGCGGGACAAATCGTTGTAAAAAAAATGTTGCAATAAGTTCTGGTTAGTTACGCACCAGTGTCAGGTAACTGCGTCCCCAGTCTCCCGTTTTGGTGAATAATAATTGTACATCATCAACTTTTTTTTGGAAAGTAAGAATAAAGAATGAAACAAAATAACAAGGGACCACTATGGTTTCTGGAGAACCTTTGAAAAGTGAATGGGAAATGGGTTCACGGATTTACAAGATTTACTAAAAATTTTCTACTCTTACAAAAGAAGAATTTTTTATACTAAAGTCTTTCAAATCCTATTAAAGGAACTCGAGTTCTGCATTAAACTACGAGTGTTTCATTTTTAGAAAATCTTTTGTCACTCATGTAATTCATCACTAGTTTCTGCAAAACTCTTTCGGATATGCGCGAAGAAAAACCTTTGTGAATCTTGTAAATACAGGAATCCATTTCCAATTGAATTTTCAAAGGTTATCCAGAAACCACAGTGTCCCTTATTGTTTTGTTTTATTCTTCATTCCTACTTTGCAAAAAAAAAGTTGCTGATGCACAATCATTATTCATTAGAGCTTATTGAAACATTTTGTCCGGAATGATGTGTTCGGTCACCCGTTATGCGTGTCGACGCACACATAATAATGAAACCAGTAATGACTACTTTTCCTCATAAACAAGGACGAAACGTCGTGCGATGCTTATCGTATAATATCTTACATCGACTTGATGATGTCCGAGTAAAACAGAAACAATCATTTTTTGTGGATGACTCTATTTCTACTCACCTTTCTGTGAAAGAAATCTTTGATTATATATATTCACATATATTGTTAACTAATGTCTGTGCATTTTGTTAATTCTATAATAAATTGAATGTGCAAAAAGTAATGTAAAAGCCACGCTAGAATTAAAGAGGAATGGGCATAAGTTAAATAACTCGATAACAATGACAGGTAGCGGCCTGTATTTTTCCGCAATCGAAAGAGGAGGACTCAGGATGTCTTTCGCTCCGATAATTTACAAGACGAAATTCTGTTAAAACGGACATTCCGACATGTAAGTTGTCTGATGCATTGTTCTTACTAATTTTTTTATTCTATCTGAGAATTTTATTTAACAAAAATGGTTCACTTCGAAATGATTTACTTTTCTAGACTATAATGGTTAAATTTGACTCTATTCCGTTCTTCATTATGTTAGTGTATGTTTTTCAAATTATCCTCACTGCGGCAAGTCTTCGTGCTAATGATAAATTTACAAGAACAAACAATAACGATTTACAAAAATGTCTTTCATCGTCATTGCCATTATCGATACGTACTGTTTATCCATGTAGCACATTAACAAATCAAAATAATTCTCAATACCAATGTGATCATTTCAATGTTAGTGGATTGTCGAGTGTTCGTGGTGGTCGAATTTCTCATTCGCCTGCTGTTATTGTTTATGCAACAAGCAGTAGCGATATTCAAAATGTGGTTAAATGTGCAACAAAACTGGATTACATTGTGAATGCATTAGGTGGTGGTCATAATTATGAAGGCTATGGTTTAGGTTCAATGTACAACAATATTATTATTAATATGGAAGCAATTAATTACATCAATATTAATCAACATGATAGAACTGGCACATTTGGAGCTGGCGCAAAAGTCGGTCCAATCTATTACAGAACATATCAATATGATAATTATACAATTAACGGTGGATCTTGTGCATGGATGGGAGTGGCTGGTAATGCACTTGGCGGTGGCTATGGTTATCTTGTTCGATTATATGGATTATTATCCGATAATATTTTGGAAATGAAAGCTGTTAACGCTCAAGGTCAATATATTTTAGTTATCTTTGTTTAATGAGTAGTTAGATGGAGATTTTTTAATTTTCGTTGATAAATATCTATGAAATATTTGTTTTAGGTGAATTATTGACAATAAATGAAACTCATGAACCCGAATTATATTGGGCATTACGTGGTGCTGGTGGAGGTTTGTTTGTTATTGTGACAGAATTTAAATTTCAATTAGTTAAATCTCCGTCACTTGTCACGAAATTTTCATTTACTTGGGATGCGAATGTAACAAAATTAGTAATACAAAAATATCAATCATTGTTATTCAATGAGAAAATATTCAATATAAGTAACAATATATTTTGGCAAATGCATGTAGATAATATTCATACAGTCATTTCAATATGTTATTTTGGTATCGAATTAGAAGAGTTTAATAAAACTATATCGTTATTATTAGCAACGTTACCAATTCCAAATAAAACTGATGTATATAAACAAGATTGGTTGACTTTTGTTTATGAAAGCTCAGGTATTGATGATCCTACGGGTGATCATCAACAATTGTTACTTGAGAATTTAACATATCCAACATCTTATTTTAAAGCTAAACATTTATTTTATGATCAACCGATAAGTGATCATAGTCTTGATCAATGTATTGATCGATTAGCGTTAATTGATGGTCAAATTGCTATGTCATTTAGTCCTTGGGATGGATATTTAAATATAATTCCAGTTGATAAGACTGCATTTCCATATAGACGTTTTAAATTTGGTATTCAGTTCACAATTTCTTGGAATGATGAACAACATGAAGAAGAACAAATGAATTTTTTAAATGAAGTATATTTGACTCTCTACAGTGACTCAACAAAACATTCATATATTAATTATATTGATAGAGATGTACCAAATTGGATGAATGCTTATTATCATACACATCAACAACGTTTAATTAATATTAAAAATATTTATGATAAAAATAATCGATTTTATTTTGAAAAAACAATAGAATCAATTGGAGGAAATCATAATCCATTTATGAACCTTTATTTTGCAAGCTTTACTATATTTGTGTTTTCCATTATATAATAAAAAAATTTCTCGTACTAACAAAAAACATTTCTCTACCATACCATCCAATCGGATTCTTAAAATATTCAAGATAAACGAATTAATAGTAGTGATCATCCTGGACGCCCCCCAATCAATGTATTGTTTTCTTCTGATTATCTCACCGATCGATCATAGTTGGTAACTGAATAATATAAATGATAACAGATAGTTTGACTAAGTCGATCTTGGGAAAATGGTTTGCTGTGACTGTTTTTGGACAACATATTGAGATTTTTAATTAAGATTTCGTTTGATGGTGTTTATCAATGTTCAATTGAAGATGAAGGGTAAGGAGAAAGCACAATAGAATCTTCAAGGTCACAATGAGAACACCTACCATAACATGTTTCACCTCATCAACGAGGATCACTAGATGATAATAATCTCTATCATTTGAAAAAAAATCCCAATAGATTTAATTTAATCAATTACATAACCTTAGAAAATAAAGGTATGTAAAGACAATTTCAGTTCATATTAGGTAGAATAGTTATTATGATGCGTTTCACTGCTACTTTCCAAGTCTGATTGTGGATGATCCTGCTCACTATTTCTCTTCAATCTCATTTGTTTAGATTTACCTCGAAGAGAAGCAATAGTGACAAAATTGCTTTTATACGCCTAATCGATGGTCGGATTGATATGAAAAAGAATGAGCGTTACATCCCGAGTTGAGTACAGTACAATATTTACTTCCACTATTCTTTCTTTATTTTATTTTTCTTATTGTATAGTTAGTTACAATCTGTTCAAGTATTTGAAATGCAGCGTAGTAAACAATATCGACCAAAATTGTAATCTTCTTCTCCATTTGTCCATGTTGAATTTCAATTATTTTCTGTTAGTCACATATCCGACTATCACCTTCAACTGAGCATTGAACCAATACAATTTCTCCATAACACTGTGAGTAAAAAAGAATATAACCATCCTTTGCTCATAAAAGCTTGGAATGACGTAGCTATGTCAAAGGAAAACACTGAAGTGTACTAGTGGGTGTGGGTGTTGATTTTTAATTCAACCCACACCCACACCCCACACCCTTCTTTAGTTGCCGTTGCTCCTGAAAAAATTACACGTTCGATAAGCATAATACTCTTACGAGATTAAAGTCTCGCTAGAAAATTTAAAACGCTGTCCATTATACAGAAAAGAAAAAAAATCACTTCTCAACAAGCTTCTATTCATCGAAAGAAAAGTCAGAATTGAAAACGAACTGAACTGTACAAAAAAAACTACTATAAAGTCCCTTTTTTTCAAGTATAATTAGAACAATTTCACAATTGATGCAAGTTTTCGTAGGTTGTTCAGAATTTTTTTCTTAAATTTCTTCGGACGAAGTAAACATAATCGGACTTTCAGCTTCAGATTCTCTTCAAAGTTTCATTTTCGTATCCGTTTCCAAACAGCGATACTTTCACTGTTTTTCTATGAATCATCACTCAATAAAACAATTTCTATATGTAACATCAATAAACCAATTTTATTTCGTTTCTTGAGCCTCTATAATGACGTCCATGTTTTCCCTTAATTTGTTAAAATTCCTTAAACGGTGCCCACACCCACAGCCACCCCAACCTCAAAAAAACCAGTTCGATTATAGGGAACATCTGTTTAAAATTCTTTTATATTATAATTGAAGTGGGTAAACCACGGACGATGGACTCGATTTGGTTTACTTGTGACGACCTGAATGCACAAGCAAGCAAACAGACAACTTACTTTTGCCGGACTCTTTTTCTTTCATTCTGTTCTTTGAATCATTTGTATGCTGTGGAAAGATATACGATATTCTCCTTTTTTCTTCTTTTCGTTCTTTAGTCTTTCTCACGTTATGACGCACGTGTTGGGTTCACTCTAGTTCGTTTTTTTCTCATAAACTAAATCCGACAGAATTTTTCGAGATTCGCTCACGCATGCTTAAACATTATCATTTAGAAAAATAAATGTACTAATTTTAGATGCCTTCGAATAGTTTTATTCGTGCATTAAGATCAATAAGAGACTTTATATTTAAGAGATTTTTCGGAAGAATAATAAAAGCATTATTTGAATGTTTAATTACACTTCTATTTATACAATTACCAGGATTTTTTTATTATACAATTACATTCGGAAAACATGACGAGAAAAAAGAAAAGCAAATAAGAATTCGAGCAAAATTAACCCATGATTCAGATCCGTCATCACCATATAGAGCTATGGAAGTACTTGATGAACTTCAAAATCAACCAGAAGTGGCAGTTACAACTCTAGCTGATATTCCTGATTTATGTTTACAACGTTATACAGACAAAGAAACAATGGGCGTCAGAGAAATTATTGATGTCAACGAGGAAAAACAACCAAATGGAAAAATTTTCAAAAAGGTTATTTTAACTTTTATTTTAATTTGAATTATTCTATTTTAAAGAAATTCTAGTTTTCATTTGGTGAATATAAATTTACAACATATCGAGAAGCTTGTTCACGTATTGATGCAATTGGTCGTGGTTTATTGTCCATTGGTGTTAAACCAGGTGATAAAGTTTTACTTTTTTCTGAAACACGTCCTGAATGGTTATTAAGTGCATTTGCGGCATTTCGACATAGTTTAACTGTTGTTACACTTATACCAACTTTAGATGAAGAAGGAGTTAAACATGGAATTAATGAAACAAAAGTTCAAACTATTATTACTTCACAAGAACTTTTTCCTAAACTTGAAGTAAAAATAACTTTTCCAAAATAAAAAAATATATGTTTGTTTATTTAGAAAGTCTTAGATCAAACAGACAAAGTTCGTCACATTATTTATTTTCCTGCTCGTGCTAAACAAGAAGCAGCTAAATCACCACCAGAGAAAAAAAATATTGAATTTATTCCATTAGCTAAATTTGAAGAACAGGGGAAGAATGTAAATATTGGTATGTTAATCATTTATGTTCTAATTTTTCTTTCATTTTTTTTGTTAATTAATCTAGATGAAGAAATTTTAAAAAAACGACCTAAGAAAGAAGATATCGCTGTTATTATGTACACTAGTGGAAGCACTGGACCACCAAAAGGTTAGTTGCTTCTATATATTTCACAAAAAAAAAAACGTCAAGTTACTTGTATTATAGTATTATCATAATCAAGCTTTGTTTTTATTTAGAAATCTAATTTATTTATTACAACGAAAGATCAAATCCAACAGGATCTTTTTCTAGATGAATAGAACTGATTGAAGCAAACGGTATTGTGGAGGTTATTAACCACCTATTTTGACAAGTCCTCAGCTAATGGACCATTTGAAAGAAATGAGAGAATTTACGATCATCTAGTTTGTGTTCGGTCTCTGATTACAACATCAACTGATCAATGAGAAAGTCGACATAAGAGAAAAGTGATTTTTTTTTAGAGAATAGCACAAATTACAGTTGTCCGAATAGAATAATAGACTGATGAATGAACATGTTTCGAGAGCGATTTATATTTCCTAATACTATCGAACACATTTTCTCTTAATAACGGTAACTAAAATGACATAATGCTAATTTGACTAAATTAGGACTCACAGTGTTGAAACTGATCGGATCCGACAGTTAGATCCGATAAATTCCCTCGGTCATGCACTAGTATTGATTAAATCGATGTTTATAAAATTTGTGGTAATCAAGGTTCTGTCGACAAAATCTGCTATGATGATTCAATCCCCAATCATTAAGTTTTAAATTCATTGCATTCATATCTAACAATAATATCCTTGCCATATACCGGAAGTTTTCAATTTTTTTCGAAAAAGTTTAACAGATTCATCTCGTTTACTTAATAGATAATTCTTATTTATAGGAGCATCCATAAGACATGGGAATGTTGTTGCTGCAATAACTGGACAAAAACAACGTGCTGCTCCACTGATTGATGTCGACAATGATATCTTCATATGTTACCTACCATTAGGTCATATATTTGAGCTTTGTTGTGGTTTGTTTATTCTTAAAAAAGCCTAACTGAAATTGAAAATCATTTATATATTGAAATAGAAACTCTTATGTTTTATATGGGCATTAAAACTGGTTATGGATCTCCTCAGACATTAACTGATCAGTCAACATCTGTTCAAAAAGGTCAGAAAGGAGATTTACAAAGTCTTCAACCACATTTAATGAATTGTGTACCGGTAAGAAGATCTTATTTGAGTGTTTTGTTTATCAAATTATATTTTGTTTAAGACCATTCTTGATCGTATACATCAAGCTGTTTATGGAAAAATAAAAGAATCAAACTTTTTTCTACGTCAGATATTTAATCTCCTTTATACAATAAAACTCAAACGTTTAGAATATGGTCTTCAAAGTCGAATACTTGATCTGTAAACATTTTTTATTATTAATTTAGAAAAATGAACATATACATATTTAGATTGATATTTTCTCGTTTTAATAAAAAAGCTCTTGGTGGTCGAGTGAAAGCAGTGATGTCTGGTGGTGCTATTTTATCTGAAGACACTCAACGTTTTGCAGAATGTGCACTTTGTGTGCAAGTTTTACAAGGTTATGGTCTAACGGAAACATGTGGTGGTGGAACTATTGCTGATCGTAACTATTTATTCATTTTTTTTGTGGCTTATTTATTTCCTAAATATGATTTAGATTATGATATAACCGTTGGTCGTGCAGGATATCCAATAATTTCAGCTGAAATTCGTTTGATCGATTGGGATGAAGGTCACTACAAAACTACCGATAAACCAAATCCACGAGGAGAAGTTCTTATTGGTGGAAAAATTGTTGCTGATTCATATTTTGGTGATGCAGCAAAAGAAAATGACAATTTTAAAGAAATAGAAGGAACAAGATATTTTTTTACTGGTGATATTGGAGAAGTTCTTCCTGATGGGACACTTAAGATTATCGGTAAGTTGATTTAGTGAAACATAAACTAAAACGAATAGCGAAGAGACACCTATTTGGATGTTTCCAGACTTGATCGACATTGTCATGGAATGTTACAAACATGATAGACAATAGTTGGAGAGAATCTAAAGACAATGTTGAAAACTTTGCTTTTTTATTAGTTTACTCGACGAGTGTTAGTTTCATTGGTCATTTCGTTTCGAATTCTGCTTTGACTCAGATGAATTATATCATATTTTATTAAAAATCATGAAGAATTTAACTACAGTTTTTAATTTCAGTACCAATTAAAAATTCAATCTGCGTCTAGGTCCATCGTAAATCATGATAGATTCTCTTAAAGTCAACTATCGCAGACCAAGATGGATATTATGAATTTGCCTCACAGCAGCTATTAAATTTTGTATCTTAGGAACTCGAGTATCTTGAAAAACGATTTTGCCTCTCCTTCTCTACTGAAATCGTTTCACGACGTTGACAAGAAAAAACCTGAATATAACATTGACAACAGCTGTTTCGTGTCATATTTTAATTTCGCAGGAATTGTACGAACACCTTTTATTTTTCCTTTAATTTTAGATCGTAAAAAAGACGTAGTTAAAATACGTAATGGAGAATATGTCTCATTGGCAAAAGTTGAAATGTCCCTAAAGAAATTATTATTCATTGAGAATTGTTGTGTATGTGCATCATCAAAATCAGAACATATTGTTGCTTTAATTGCTCCAAATTCAAAAGAAGCCATGGTAAGATTACTTGATCGAAATTTTTAAACACATGAATATTTCTCGTGTAGAAATATGCAGAAAAACATTATGATGAAAAAGATTGGAAAAAATTAGCTGACGATGAAGATTTTAATGATGATATACTTCGAAAAGTTAAAGATGTTTGTAGAAAAGATGGTATTCAAAATTTTGAAATTCCAAAGAGGATTAAAATAGTTACAGATTCTTGGACACCTGATAGTGGCCTTGTCAATGATGCACTTAAATTAAAACGAAAAGCAATTGATGAAAAATATAAAGATGAAATTAAACAACTTTATGAAGATATATCAAATAAAGATAGGAAGAAGGATCAATTAAAGAAGAAAAAAAGATCAACAAAAGATGATGATGATGATGATGATAAAAAAGAGCAATAAATCAAAAGACATTTTGTTATGTTTTATTTTATTTCCGCATTAAACGCATTTTTTTATTAACTCGTGAAGGTTAATTTTCTATTATTAACTAATAAACATTTTCTTTTCCAATAAACCATTCCGTTCATCTTTGGAGTTCAAACAAAAATGATACTAGAAGTTTCGTTCCACTTTATCATCAAATTTTTTTTTTTAAATGAATGTAACTCATCTTAGGAAGAATCTCAAAGAAACTACACTGACAATGGAGGTATGTGTGTTGATAAGTGAAAAGATGGCACATATTCGGGTCAAATGAAAGCTCTCATCGCCAAAATAATAAGGTTAAAAGGGTGTAGGTGTGGGTATGAATAAATAAGAGATGCACCCACACCCACACTCACTCCGGCTACTTCTGGCTTGTGATCATAAGTCAAATAGAATTTTAAAATATTATGAAGGTTTTAAATTTCAGTAAACAATAAAATTTAAATTAATTTAATTTTCAAGTTATGGTTAATGAATACTTCTATTTGAAAACTTTCGCTTTCAACTTGAGATCGCATCGAATTTAGCAAGATATTAGAGTTCGCTCGTGTTTTCAATACAATTTATATCTATAAATTTAGGAAGATCTAGAGTTCCCTAGTGCTTTCAATGGAATTTAACATTTAGCTTCGGAAGTGCTAGAGTCCGCTAGAAAATCCAGCATAAATCTAACTGAATGTAAAAAAGATTTAGAAGTGTCGCGTGTAGTCTGTTTGAAGGTAAGCGAATGCGGTCTGAGAGTGTCACTTCTCATTTTGGAAGATCAGTGTAAGAACATGGCAGCGAAAGAAAATTGGTTTACATTTCAAGGTATTTGATTCAAAAGGTTTTATAAGCTCTGAATTAATTATGAATTTTGCTGCTTGGCCAAAAAGAAGATTTTATAAGTGAGGTATACTATCGAAGAAATTGTTTTAAAAAAAACGCCAATGAAATCTTTTCGCATTTTAAACGAGGTCACTGAAATAGGTGGATCGCGAGAGAGTTTTTTATAAAAACTTTTTTGGAACGTAGCTAGATCATAGATTTAGCTTAAGTACTACGAATCTTAATCTTAATCAGGAACACCTTTTTGAAGGTGATATGCTTAATTCTCATATTAAAAAACGAATCCTAAGATAGCTCGAGCAAGGGCCGAAAAAAAAAGAAAGTTTGGATGAAGATGGAAGGGAGCTTTGAATTGTTTCTCTCATGTTTCACAAGCATGATTCAATATCCATTCAAAGTGTGACCTCGATGGACGCTTGTTTGAAGAGAACTCTAATACCAACACCTAAATCTTGTCCTGTTTACATTGTTTCCACAGTTTTGTTGTTGAATAA